GCTGCCAGTTTGTCCCGAAGAAATAATTCGGCAGGAAAGACCAAGGGTGGAGGGCAGAAGTCCTTCTCTCTCCTCGTCCTGAGTCCGCGCCCTCCTCAGGGCAGGGGCTGGGGCTCGCTCAGCTTACCCCCGGTGCTGGCCCGTGGTAGCACTCAGGGAACACCTGCTGGGTGAATGCCTGACTGCCGTGCAGTTACGATGGACGAGAGGAGGGAGGTGGCAGGAAGGGAGCCCTCCAGTGACCAGGTGCCTGTCTTCTTGCAGCCACCAAAATGTCAGGAGAGATGGACAAGCCGCTGATCGGCCGTCACCTGGACAGCGATGGCAGCCTTGCCGAGGCCCCCAGTGGGGCCCCCAAAGTGGGCATCCTGGGGAGCGGGGACTTTGCCCGCTCCCTGGCCACACGCCTGGTGGGCTCTGGCTTCAACGTGGTGGTGGGGAGCCGCAACCCCAAACGCTCAGCTGGGCTGTTCCCCTCGGCGGCCCAGGTGACTTTCCAGGTGGATGCAGTGAGCTCCCCAGAGGTCATCTTCGTGGCCGTGTTCCGGGAGCACTACTCTTCGCTGTGCCGTCTCAGCGAGCAGCTAGCCGGCAAGATCCTGGTGGACGTGAGCAACCCCACGGAGCAAGAGCACCTTCGGCACCGCGAGTCCAACGCCGAGTACCTGGCCTCCCTCTTCCCCACCTGCACCGTGGTTAAGGCCTTCAATGTCATCTCTGCCTGGACCCTGCAGGCTGGCCCGAGGGATGGGAACAGGCAGGTAGGTTCTGGCGGAATAACATCCATCATAACAATATATATAAATGGCTAATTTTTCTTGCGGGCTTTCAGTATGCCAGGTCTTTTTTCATACATTATTGCCACCAATGTCACATCACTGCAAAATTTCATTTAGCAGAGCAGGAAACTGAAGCTCAGGGATGTGAATGATTTTACTTACTCAGAATCCTACAGCTGGTGAGCTGGGATATGAACCCACTTCATATGAATCTGAAACCCAGGTCCTTTCTGCTATGGTTTCAAAAGCACCTATGCCAAGTGCCGGTGGGGGCTGCCTAGATGGGCATTTTGCCTGCGGCTGCTGATGTCAGTGAGCCAGGCAAGGCACTTGCTAGTAGCAGTTTCTCTCCATGAGTAGTGGCCCTAGCCAGGCCAGAGGCTGGGGGCCCAGGTGGCAGAGGGAAGACCCCTGGCCCGGGAGGCAGGACCCCTTTGCTCCCAACTGCACCATTAACTGGAAGCTCACTTCGACAAGTCCCTGTCCCTCTGAGCCTCAGTTTCCTTAGCTGCTCAGTGAGGAGTTTGGCCCAGATGCTCACTGAGGCCCTGCCCACTCCAGAGGCCTGTGACCCCGTCTGACTGCCCGCTTCCTGCCCACAGGTGCCCATCTGTGGCGACCAGCCAGAAGCCAAGCGTGCTGTCTCTGAGATGGTGCACGCCATGGGCTTCATGCCCGTGGACATGGGGTCCCTGGCCTCCTCCCGGGAAGTGGAGGCCATTCCCCTGCGCCTCCTCCCGGGCTGGAAGGTGCCCACCCTCCTGGCCCTGGGGCTCTTCGTCTGCTTCTATGCCTACAACTTCATCCGGGACGTGCTGCAGCCCTACGTGCAGGAAAGGAAGAACAAGTTCTACAAGCTGCCGGTGTCCGTGGTCAACACCACGCTGCCGTGCGTGGCCTACGTGCTGCTGTCGCTGGTGTACTTGCCCGGTGTGCTGGCAGCCGCCCTGCAGCTGCGGCGGGGCACCAAGTACCGCCGCTTCCCCGACTGGCTGGACCACTGGCTGCAGCACCGCAAGCAGATCGGGCTGCTCAGCTTCTTCTGCGCCGCCCTGCACGCGCTCTACAGCTTCTGCCTGCCGCTGCGCCGCTCCCACCGCTACGACCTGGTCAACCTGGCCGTCAAGCAGGTACCGCCCCGTGCCCACCCCGGCGCTCCCTGCCCCTCGCAGCATGTCCCTGCGGGCGCCCCCGGTGAGCCAGGTGCGGCTGGAACCCGCGGGTACGGCCGCACCAGGTGCCAACTGCGGATTCTGTTCCTTTCGGGCAGCACCCACATCCTGCTGTCCAAGAGTTTGGGTATCATTGAAGAAAGCAGATGAAAATCCCTCCCCTCGTGGGCACGGCCCAGGTGGGGCGGACTTAAAATAAGCAGTGAGTCGTAGCAGGCCGTTAGGAAGTCGTGAGTGCTAAGGCACAAAGGAAAGCAGGGGAGGACAGTGGGGGTGCAGTTTTAGAGACGATCAGGGGAGGCCTCGCCGAGTGGACGCTACGTGAGCAGAGGTGGGAAGAAGGGAAGAGTGGGCCGGGTAGCCAGCAGGGGTGTTGCAGGCCCAAGGGGAAGTGAGAGCTGAGTCCTGGGGGGGGGGGCATGCCTGCGTGTTGGAGGAGCAGCCAGGAGGCCCCCGTGGCTAGATCCCACAAGGGGGTGGCAGAAGAGGCCTGAAAGGTCACAGCCAGACCAGAGGGTCTTGAAGGCTGAGGAAGGGCTTTGACCTGGGGCTCTGCATGAAATAAGGAGCCAAAGAGTGATGGTTTTGAGTTGAGGAGTGACGACCCACCTGATATTTTACCTGGCTCACTCTTGCTGTTGGGCTGAGAATAGGCAACCGGGTCCAGAGGCAGCTGGGCTCCTGGGAGCCCGAGGAGGAGGTGCACGCCAGATGCCAGGCAGCAAGGCTGGGAGGGGGCTGGAGCAGCAGAGGGGCAGGACGGCCCTGGAGGACACAGCAGTGCTGATGTAGTGGGCCTGGGGTGTGGGGTGATCAAGGATGACTCTGGGGTTTTGGTCTGAGCATCTGGAAGCATAGAGCTGCCATCAGCTGAGACAGGGAAGGCTGCAGGCATGACGGTTTTGGGGTTTAGGAATTTTTACTTGGGGGTGTGGTATTATTCATCTAGAAAACCCAAATGGTGCTCCTTTGCCAGCAGGATTCCTGGAAACTGGAGAGCCTTCAGGCCAGGCCACATAGGGACATGGGTGGCATCAGCTGGCACCTGTACCCATAGAAACAGGCTCCCGATGCTCCATCCTGGTCCACAAAATCCCCTGGCTTGATTGCAGGTGAGCAGACCTGCTAGTCCCAAGCCAACGTCTGCAAACAACACTGCCTTTCTCTTTTTTCTCCAACTTACTCCACCTCCAGGCCCAGCCCCTGGGCTGGTTGGTGCGTGGATGAGGCCTGACCACTCCAGGACACTAGTTGCCCCATGGGGTTTGGCCCAGGTGCCAGTGAGACACTTCTCATCCACCCCTTGTTCCAGCCTACATGGCCCCTGTGGCTCTTGCTCCTGCTCAGGGTGCTGGGGCCTAGTGGTCCCCTTGGTGGGCACACCGACCATAGGGCCTCTGTGCCTCAGAGGATGGGGGACCAGGAGGCCTGGGAGTGAGGCTGGGTGGCTCCTGGGAACAGATGCCCCCCCCCACTCACTCTCGGGGCTTCTCCTTCCCTGCTGGCAGCTTCCTAGCTGCCCTCGTCCTTCCCCACCCACAGACACCTGGCATCATCGTATCTGTGGGCTCAGACTCTCATAAGAGAAAGGAGGAATCCCAGACTTCAGGCAGAGAAGCAAGATGCCTGATGGAATTGAGAGGAAGGGAAAAAATAATAGTTACGAACCTTTAAAAAGGCCTTGCTGTATACCAGCTACCATTCTAAGAGCTTCCTATACCTACTATGGATTCATGTAACCTCTGTCTCATCCCTGTAAGGCAAATGCTGGTCTACCCTCATTTTACAGATGAGAAAACTGAGGCACAGAGAGGTTAAGTAATTTGACCAAAATTACACAGCCAATAAGTGGCAGAGCTGGGATTCAGATCCAGCTGATACCTCTACTACTTTCTACAGGGAAAACAAATGCAAATTAACCATTGAATCAATGATTTCAGAACTCAGATCATTCATTCACTCATTCACTTAGCACTTAGTGTGCCAGGCCCTGGGGCCACAGAGCCCACCCTTGTCCCTTGCCTCAGCTGGTGTGGGGGGAGCAGAGGCCTGAAGGCCAGAGCTCTGGACTCCTGTTCGCCAGCATCACTGCTTAGGACAAAGACCTTGACTTTGAGAAAGTTGCAGCCCCTGTTTTATCCTCAGGGCCCTGATGTGTATGTAGATCAAGTTCTCTCCTAGTGCCAATACATTTTAGCATGAAATGAAGTTTATTGAGGAAGGGCAAGATAGATTTACAGAGCGAGAGCAAGGTATGTTCACCACAGGTGACAGACGGGCCCCCCTGCAGTAACAAAAGGGCCTAGTGCTAATATTTTTAATGCTGTTTGATATTTTCTTACTCACTTCTAAAAAGAGTCAACCCCCTCAGCAGGAGGCTCTGAGAGGCTCTTTGGGGACTGGCACAACGTTTGCTGCCCAGGCGGTGGCAGATCTGGGTGCATGGGAGCCCTGTACTTCGAGCTGGCAGGTGTTTCAGGCAGGGGTGAAGAGGAAGGTAACGCCCCTGCCCCCGGAGCACAAGGCATGACCACTGCTCCCTCCCTCCGCTGCCGTGGCCCTCCCAGGTCCTTTGTCTAAATTCCCTGCCCTGTCGAGGCTCCCCTTGATGTTGTGTTAACCCAGCCTTGCCTTGATGCAAATACCAGGGCACTGAGGGGCTCATGAGAGGAACTTCTCCCCCACATTCCAAAGTCCCCCAGGGCTGTGGCCTTGGCACGGTTGCCAGGCAACCATTCCACCCGCAGGACCCGGTTGCTCTCAGAGACACCCAAGGCCTCTCAGGCAAAGGGGCTTAAACTTGTCCCGCTGAGTTCTCAAGGGCAGAGCCAGGGCTGCTGTGGGTGGCCTGGGGATGGTCTGAGGGAGGCAGGGCTTCACAGAGTGGCCCCGGAGTGGGGAGCTGCCCGAGCCTGGAGAAGGTGGGGCAGCCATGCCCTCGGGTCCCGAGCCTGGCACGGAGGCTGTTCTGCATTCAGTTCCTGGCCGGGCCTCCCGGGGCCGCCCCTGCCTGCGGCGTGACTTGCCCTGCCTGCCCACGGGCACCTCGCCACAGCTCCCACACGGCCACTGCCCACTCCAGCTGCCCGTGGGGCCCTGTGGCAAAGGGAGAGTGCCGGCCTGGGCACAGGGAACGCCTTCTCCAAGCTCTCCCTAGAGCCCCCGAGTCCACAGATTTGGAAGCAAAGCTGGATCCCCGCTGTAGAGAAAACCGTTGAGATGGTGTTTATTGACAGTATTATTACCAACGATAGCTGGTATTTGCATAGCGCTTTCTGACTTGCTTGTGCGTTTCCCCAGAGATGCATTTCAAGATCAAAATCAAAGATCAAGATCAAAGATGATGTTTAACCTGCACACTGTTTTCCTATTTCCCTCACCTCAGACTAAATGGGCACATGGCTGTCAAAGAACAGCCTAAAACTCTCACCAGGCCATGCCACTGCTGAAAAGTGTTCGGTGACTCCCCACTGTCCTTGGGATAATGGCAGACCCCTCAGGATGTGGCCACACTCCCTTTCCAGCCTCCTCTCCCCTACTTCTCCTGGGACATGTCACACTTGGGTCCCATATTGTCCTCTAAATGGGCAGAGCTCATTCCTCTTGGCCCAGAATACCCATCCTGGGACATCTTGACAGCCTGGCACACTCCTTTTCCTCCTTCAAAAGCCTACCGCTGTTAAGCTCCCCCAGCCTGTCCGCCCACTGACTCATACCCACCTCTGTCGTCTGTTCCATTTTGTACACACTCCTATTATTTTTCTTATATGCCACTTCGTACCCAGCTCAAAGTTCCACAACTGGGTCTTCCATACCCTCAGGTCCAGGGTTCCTAACACAGATTCCCAGCGCACGTTCACTCAGTGACTGGTTGTTAAATTGGCCACGATACCAAGCATCTCTTAAGAAGAGTACACTTAGAGCTTGTGCAAGAACTAATCTAACTGCCCAGTTGCCACTAAGAACAACAGCACCAGTCGTTTATTATATTAGGCACCTACTGTGTGCCAGTCACATGCTACTCGCTTCACCTACATCTTCGTTTTAGTCCTGCAGTAACACAGCAAGAGAGAGACAGCGACGCTATTGGCAGGGAAAGGGACTGCCCAGGGTCTCAGGACTGCCCCCCAGTGGCAGAGTCAACGTTAGAATCCAAGACCTGGGGGACTCCAGTGGGGTCTCCCCACCGCCCACCCAGGCAGCCCCTTCCACACCCTGCTGCCTCCTCCTCCTCCAGGTCTGGCAGGCAATGGGTGGGCAGCACTCTCTTCCCACCCCCTGCCCGCCATGGGGCAGGGAGAAGGGCCGCCGCTGCAGCCTCACTCGTCCTCCAACATCTAACCCTAAAGGGAAATCCCGCACCTGAACGCCATCTTTCCTTCTCTGGTTGGCGACCACTCCCTCGGCGTTCTCCAGGTGGCCGATTTGGTTCGCTCTAGACATGGGAGAGCCACTAGGGGAACGGAGAGCTGTCACGGCTCCCTTCCGTGAGCTGTGTGCGGCACGGGGCTGCGGGCGTTCTGAGGGCAGTGTTGTGGCAGGTTGGGAGAGACTGTCACGGGCTGTTTGTGGTGGCCGGGGTCCGGGTCCTCGTGCAGGTCCTCACGAGCCACTGCTCCCTCACCTACCTCATCCCTCCCTTCCCAGCCTCATGCAGAGTGGAAATATTAGAGGAAAAACACAAGACATTTCGCAAGCAAATGTGGTATACGTGTGTAATCATCCAGCTCTGACTTGTGACATTAACTGCCTGATCTTACCAGAACGCAGAGAGGAATGACTAATGGAGTATAGTCGAAGAACAAACAACTTGCAAAGAGGAGATGACTTATTCAGCAGCAGTTGTTGACACTGTGAGGTGTGAGTAAGACTTCTCCGGGCAGAGTGACGGAGGAGGTCTCTCTGTCCCTGCACGCCTCCCTAGCTAACACTGACCCCAGCCCAGCCCGCCACGCACAACCGGAGAACTCCAGACAGGGCCTCATCCAGCTCTCGGGAAGAGAAACTGAGGCCCAGAGACAGAATTGCCCAGAGTCACACACAACTGGGGAGTCCCCAGACTCCTCGTCCTTTTGTGGCTAAAGGCACCAAACTGAGCCCACCTGTCCTAAAATAGAACAGAGACAAACATTTTTTTTTTTTTTAACAGCAGGAAAATTACCCAATGGGTGGTATTTTCTCAGTTTCTTTCAGCTTTCTCTCGTAAGCTTTTCAACCATTTTTGCTCAGACCACTGGATTCATTTTTAATATTTTATGTGCTTACTAGGCTTATGTTATTTGTTTTCCTGCTGAAATAGTTTCTCAAAAAACCTGTATGAGTCACTCACTGTTTTGAGAGGCGGAGACCTGCCTACTCTAAAGCATAGTCACATTTTCTAATGGAAATGCTGCCCCATGTTCTGCTGGTAGAGTTAAAGTACCAGTATTTCGTGGTATTTCTCAGAGAACACCGTGACTTCTGGGAACTCTGCTACCTGGTCTAGCTGAGCAATAATGGGAGGCCCCAGGTAAACGTTCTTCCTCGTGCAGGCGCTGTGTGAGTGAGTGTCGCCGGGCTGGGAGGGCCTCGGCTACAGTGGCACTCCCGGTAGGGAGAGAGGGCATGGAAATCTCTGGACTCACAGGGGCTCCTTGACTTATGCGTCCCGGGGCTTGGTGAGGACCCCAGAGCTCTGTGAGGGCAGGTGTCCTTATTCTCTGCAGCCCAGGACCCAGCACACAGTAGGTGCTTCATAAGTGCTCACTGAACTGTTTGATGAATGGCGGTCAGTCTCTGTTACCTGGCAAAGTTGAGCCAAATCTTTAAGCTGCAGACAGAGGTGGAGAACTGGTTAGGAAGAGGGGAGTGTGGGGGCTTTGAGTCAGGAAATGTTGGTGGTCAGCATCCGTGTGTGTCTTTGTGTGTCCTGAGTGTGAACCAGTGACTGGGGACAGCTTGGGAGACCAGGAAGGTGGGTCCAGGCTGGAGGAGAAGCAGTCAGCAGAGGCACAAGCCCATCTGGCCAACAGGCCCCAGAGCTAGGGTACCTCCTCTCTCCAGTCCCGGGATTCAGGGGCCAGAAAACTGGGATGTTGTCATACCTGGGGATCTGCATTTCGTGTTGACTTCCTGGACTTCCTTACATAATCTTGACTGACGTGACTGTTCTGCTGGGCTGGCCCCCTGGGGCAGGTGTGTAAAAGCCCTGGGAAGCCAAGTTTTTGGAGCCAGGCTGCATGGGTCCTGAGCCCAGCTGTGCATCTGTGTGACCTTGAGAAGGTGACTTTGTCTTTATGCCTCGTTTTCCTCATCTGTAAAATGGGACAATAGTGATTTCTACCTCATGGGGTGGTTGCGAGGATCAGTGAGTTAATGCTGAGAAGCACTCATCGCAGCCAGGCACGTGAGCATGGGCTGTCACTGTCTCTCTTGTGCCCTTAAGCACTCACCTGCCCTGCCAGGGCACCAGCCTTTGCCACAGTGCTCACAGTTTCCCTTCCATCCACGTCAGGTCTTGGCCAACAAGAGCCACCTTTGGGTGGAGGAGGAAGTCTGGAGGATGGAGATATACCTCTCCGTGGGAGTGCTGGCCCTCGGCACGCTGTCCCTGCTGGCTGTGACCTCGCTGCCATCCATCGCAAACTCGCTCAACTGGAGGGAGTTCAGCTTCGTTCAGGTAAAGTAGGCCTCCCCTGGCTAGCGAGCCTCAGCCTGGCCCAAGCCCACCTCCCACAAGCAAGCACCTGCCCCTCCGAGAACTGCCTCGGCTTCGATCACCTGTACAGCAAGACCACTCTGCCACACTCGGGGCCTGCCTAACCTGGAGGGCCCGTCCGAGCCTCCTGAGAATGGGCTTCCTGGGACAAGCTTATTCTCCAGACATATGGGGAAGCCAGATACAGGCATGTGAAAAAATTAGAAACCAGAACACTGGACCCTAGGTCAAGCAGTCTCAGCTTCTACAATTCTTAAGCTTCCCAAACAAAATTCCATGGCATGCAGTCACCGGACATTTTACTGGTCTAGGTAGGAGCCAGTGAGCTGGTGAGTGGGCCTAGCCGCCACCTTGCACGCCTGTCTCTACCCACCTCCATTGTTCCTCTTCACCCCGTGATTCTTGCAGAGCTGATGGGAGGTAACCATTAGGGTCACCAGTTTATAGGGGATGAGACATAGCTTTTCCCAAAGGACACCGTTCCTATGAAAAATCCGGAGAAAAGGAGATCTATAGTCAAATGAATCTGAGAAAGATTTGATTCCCCTAAGAGATTCACAATGCCTCTCAGCACATCAGAGTCTAGTGATGTCTACAGCAAACCATCCTTTGTTAACCAGACTGATTTGAGCATTAGCACCCTCCCCTCCTCTTTTCCAAAATAACAGCTATCAACACTCCATGACACTCTCACAAATGCTGCTAGTGGCATAAGGTTCTTATGCATGTGTTCATTCATCAAATGTTTTTTGAGCACTTACTGCATGCCAGGCAGTGCACTAGGCCTGGGATGCAGTAGAGAACAAGACAGGCAGAGCCACCTTTCAACGATAACAACAACTGAGATGGAGACATTCTTTACATTTCTTTGGCATCTCCCACTGTTCTCCACACAGAATATGTGGTCAGTGTTGGCGGATTAACTCACCCCTCCCCGGGGTAGGAGCTGACTAATGCTGGATCCTGCCATTGTGTTGCATCAGGGCAGAGAACAGCGAGCGTATCCACCCCCACTAGCAACAAAAATCTGTCAAGTATCTTCTCTGTGCAGCGAGGACACGGTACAGGACTGAGGGACAGTGACAGTGTAATGCTCTTACATAATCCAGTTGAATTGTCCCTGATTGGGGATGTTTTATGTCCCTTAGAACAAAGCAGAGTTGTGGATGTGTGTTTTCTAAAGTGTGTCTGTTTCCGAATCTCCCTGGCTCTGCTCATCTCAGAAGGTCCCTGGAGGAGCACTCAGGGCTGACACATACGAGCATAAGAGCAGGGGAGGAATTTTATTTATCTGCCACTAATCCCCATGTGTCTCACACCCAAATCTAGGATTTTCCTGTTCCCACCTGGAGTTTCCCGGGCGCATGGTTTATCCGCAATTAAAGCAGAGCGCAGGCTGCTCCCCTCAGCAGAGAGTGCCCCTGTAAGCAGCCGCCGCAGATTACATGCCCTGGCTCTGGCTGCCGGGGAAAGCCGGCGGATTTGATTTTGTTAGCAAAAGCTGACTGCGGCTCCAAAAGCTGCGTTCTACTTTACATATTAAAGAGTCAAAACACAAATAGGACAGTCCTTTTGCCACTGCGAGAGAGCGGGGGCTTGGATGGGTAGAAAGGCAGGATTTTACTTGTGGAAATCAAATGCTGCCGGCATTCTGTCCACAAAACCCAGATGCCAATCCGGAGGAGGCACTGTTGTCGCCCTGGTGCCAGCTCTCCCCCCCACTACCCTGCTCCGTGACGGTGGGCAGATCACACCCTGCCCTGAGCCTCAGGTTACACGCCTGGAAGACAGAGTCTATGCCCTACAGGGACTTTGTGAGCCACAGTGAGAGATTATGCGTGAAAGAAAAATAAAAAGCATTTTGCTATTATTCTTAGGGTATCTGGCCACATTGCTATCATCCCTGATTAAATTACCAACCACTCATTTCTGAGTTTGGTAGGAGGCAGCGAGACAGAGGCCAAGAAACTCCAACCCTGCATCAGAGTGGTCCGGGTCTGTGTTTGCAGACTGGTGACACTGATTCGTGGGTCATGCAATCAAGTCAGTGGGTCACAACCAGCATTTCTTATATGAAATGGAACAGAGTGGCAATGAAAGCATAGGAGTGATTTGCATACTGTAAGGATAGATGTCTTTTCAGTTATATTGATTCGGTGGGTATGTGTACATGTGTGGCATACCTGGTTGCCCATTGGGCAGTAGTGTCACACACAATGCTTCTTGTACACTGCCATCCAGAACACTCTGGAGAAATACAGATACCCAGGCCTGCTCCCACCTATGGTCTCCGATGCTCAGGGACAGCTCCGGGAGTCTATTTTTGCAGCTCTCTGGGTGACTCATAGGTGCACATGCTGCAGTGTGCGGCAACCTCCGGTGGAGGGAACACAGGCAGTGGAAGCCAGCAGATGGGGTTCAGTCCCAGGACACCCACCTACCAGCCCTGCGCCATAAGACAAGTTTCTGGGCCCCAGGGCTTCTGCTTGCTCACCTGTACCTGTGTCTACCTCGTGTGGTCACACAGAGTATTCGAGCTGGACCCTATAACATGCAAGATGTGTGCACTCAGTAGTGGCTTGCTGATTTCAGAGGTAAATTGCAGCCTTCTCCCATAAAATTAGCACAGCCAGTGAGGAGCTACCAGAACCCCATCTCCATCCCCTGCCACAGATGACCACAGCAGCCACTGGGGCTTAGAAACCAGTTGTGGGGACAGCTGGGGGTCACGGGGGTCTAGGATGACCCCTGAGTCCGTAATGGTCTGTTTAACTAAAAACGATGTGTTGATTCCACAAAGAAGTGACTTGTGTTTGCATTTATCCTTTTGTTCCCAAGGCTATTTTCAAAGTTTTATATTTTGGTTTGTGTTTCTTGGGTGTTTTTGTTATCGTTTTGGTTCATTTGGCTGTGCTGAGTACTCCTGATTTAGCCAATTAAGCATTGTTGGATGTTAGATTGCAAAAGAGCCAGGTCAGAGCAGCTCACCTGCATAGAAAAATTAGGGTTCAGCCCTTAGCACCTAAGTTCTCTGTCCCAGAGTTAGAACTTCCTGTGACCTTGCCCACTCCAGCCACCTGCCTGAAATAATGACAGAGACCAGCCTGACCCAGCTTCATGAGCGATTGTCCAAAGCCCCTTCGCTCTGTAGTAATTGAGTACCAGCAGGCGATACTGACGACCTGCTGTTTCTTTTTTGCTAACAAGCTTACATATAATAAAAATGACCCTAGCTTGAGGGGGTTATTAATTGCCCCTTGACAATCCCTCTCCTTCTTTTGGCCTTCTTTGACTGTTTGGGGATTTTTGAATTGTTCCCAAGGAGAAAGAGTTTCAGGGAAACAAACTTGCTGGAATCAGCCAGGCTTCCCATTGGGATCAGGAAGTCAAAGGCCCTTTGTTACTGGCTAGCCTTTGGCTGTCAGCCCTGCCAGGAACCATTAGCCCGAGGCTGGGGCTTCCTGCCATGTGCACATGGGATTTGGGAGGGCAGCGGGATGAGGATGTATGAACAGAGCTGACTGCTGCCGGTGGACCCGGGAGCAGCGTCTCCAGGATGCCCAGCACTGCCCGTAACTCTTTGGATCCTGAAGACAGTAGCCCACATGGCCAAACACGGGAGCTACAGGACATGTCACCCGAGGGGGACGCCAAGGCCTCACTGGGGCCACTAGGGCCGGCTTCCTAGGCCCGAGTGGGTTCTCCTTGCTGCACCATCCGGGAAGGCCCCACAGTGCAGAGTGCAGACACTGACAGCCCTCAGTGGGTCTGTGTCTAAGGAACAGATAGACAGGCCTTCCCCAGTCACATGACCCGGGAAGAGCAACCTGTGTGGACTTCTCAGCCTGAAACTCCAAGGGCATGATGACAAGAGTCTCCTAAATGAGCGGTTTAGTCCTGGCTGCACAACACCATCATCTGCTGAACTTTAAAAAACAACAGATGCCTGAGCGCCAGCCCAAGCCAATTTAATCTGAACTTCTAGGGGCGAGACTTGGGCACTAATGGTTTACCCAATCTCCCCAGGTGGTTTCCATGTGTAGCCTGATACACCCTCTAGGATAAAAGGGACCTTCCAGCCATCTCAGAACCCCAGTAACCGCACAGCAAGGAAAGGTGGGAGGGCCCACCGTTTGGGCCTGGGCGCCTAGTTGGCGAACACCAGGGTGACCAACATAGGCTGTTCACAACTTATTCCTAATGGTCAGTGCTGGGGACCTCTTTAACCCCAGTCTTCCATAACAAGAGATCAGAACTTAGAAAAAGTCGGTGTTGCTCACAAGTTACAGGGGATTTGGAATACTTGGTAGACACATCTGGAAGTGACACGGATTTGGTTACAGTCAAGGAGGCTTCCATTTGGGGAGCCAACCACATGAAAAATGACATGAATTAACCGTGGGTGATAGCACAAAGCCAACCATGGCTTCCCAACTGGAGGCGGTGAGCTGGGACGTTGTTGAGGATGAGACGAGAAGATCCTTGAAGTGGACACAAAGCCAGGAACCAGGGATGGCTAGGAGGGATATGGAATGTTTTGTTTGGTTATTTTATTTGGGGCCAAAAATGTACATGGGAACCTATCTGTGAAATTAGTGTGCAGCCATTGGAAATGTTTATTATTAATACCACATTTAGCAGAAGCATTACAAGCAATTCTTGCAAACCATGTTCCTTCACTCACTGGGTTCACCTTCCTGCTGTTTGTCCTGGAGCGGGTACAAGCAAAGCGCTGCCCGCCACCGGGGAGAAGCGAGAAAGCAGGCACCGTGGACCCACGGAGAAACCTGTCGGGTGGAGCAGGGGGCAAACGAGACGGCGTCCCTCGGCTAAGCCCCGGGATCCCCGGGTTGATCCCGACAAGCTGGGCTAGAGGGAAACATGGGGGCCCAATGCAGCTTCTCCGTGGAAAGCTCAAACCCAGTCTATGAAGAGCACCCTGAGGTATCCACGTGCCACCATGTTTAAGTTAAACCCGTGCAGTGTGTCCTTGAGAAAATGCATATGCGTTCATTGCTTTGCGGGTCACTGTTATTTTCATTCTTTATGTAATACAAACAGGTCTCTCCTGCCCCCAAATCTCTCCTGGCTCCTTGGTGCTTGCAGAATTCAGTCAGAAGCACCCAGGACTCTCCTCCCCGTCCCCATGAAGCCCTAACCCACAGTGCCCTCTGCCGTGTCGCCGCCTGCCTCCACGCTTCCCCCGCTGACCTCAGCTTTTGGAACCACTCGCCTCCAGCTGAGGCTGATGGAGTGGCCTGCCCAGGCCCAGTGTCAGCTGGACCAGCACCAGCCATGGAGCCTGGGTCCCCTCTCTTGCAGTCCACGAGGACCCTCACGTGCCAGAGGCTGCAGTCACGGAGCAGCACCTCCCAGCCGTTTTCACATCGCACGCAGCTCCTGTCAAAGTCACGTTTGGGTGGCGGATAAGCTGCTCTTGGCTGGAAGCCACCCACGAGAGCCCACATGTGGCTCAAGGGGTGGGAAGCTCTATCGTAAAATGGCCCAACCATTTCCATTTGGGGTCGAGATGGTCTCATCTCCCTATGGTCACTAATCTCCTCCCAGGCGGGGGACGAGGCCTGGCCTGTTTCCAGCTGGGGTGCTCATAACTCAGCGTGGGGCGGGCGGGGGAGGACCGCGTGCATGGAGAGCATCTGCACGGTGTTCTGGGCCTTTCTGTGCAGTGCCAGGTCACCTGGACCACAGGCCCCTGCGAGCTACCTGCACTGCTAGTGCCAAATCCACATGCCACCTGTAAATTATTTATTTACGTTTATCTCTATGCCAACTTAAAATCAATTTTCACTTAAGTTTGGCCAAATATTAAATTATGATTTTGGTATGCTAGCAGACACTTGCCACTCTAATATACATCACACACAAAACTAGTAAAGTGGGTTTTTTTTTAAATTAATTAATTTATTTCTAGTAAAGTGTTTTTAAACTTCTTTGAATCTAATTCCATCAAAAATCATCTGGCAGCCACGAGAGGTACAGATAACACGTTTAGGGGCAAAGCATCGTTATCTAATTGCGTCCACACGGATGAGGCAGCCCTGACACACCTCCAGCCGGGAAGCGTCATTCCACTTTCCTGTTGGGGAAACAGGCTTGGCGTTGAGGCGGTTGCTATGGGATCGCGCAGGTAGAGAGTGACAGGGCTGGGTTTGGAACCATGGCCACGGAGCGCCAGAGCCGCTCTGCCTCCCTCCGCCAGGAGCAGATGGGCCGTGGGCGGAGTTGCTACTGCTGTTGTCACCCGGCCCTCATTCCAGCCTCTTTTCCCTCTGCAGTCCACGCTGGGCTTCGTGGCCCTGGTGCTGAGCACGCTGCACACGCTCACCTATGGCTGGACCCGCGCCTTCGAGGAGAAACACTACAAGTTCTTCCTGCCGCCCACCTTCACGCTCACTCTGCTGGTGCCCTGTGTCGTCATCCTGGCCAGAGGCCTGTTCCTCCTGCCCTGCTTCAGCCGCAGACTCGCCAAGATCCGGAGGGGCTGGGAGAGGGACAGCGCCGTCAAGTTCACGCTGCCCACGGCCCCCACCCTCGCAGAGAAGACGAGCCACGTGTGAGGTGCTGCGGGCTCCAGACACCAGGCGCAGGCGGGATGGCGCCCTGAGCCCGTTAGGTTTTCTTTTCTGGAGAGCGGTGTGATTGTGTGCAAATGGGTGGTTTGAAGTCCAGATTCCTGGGATGCAAATGTATGCAGTAATATTCAGAATGACACACGCGTGTGATATGTATGTACATATAGTCCATATATATATATATAAAACAGGATTTTCAATTATGTTTACTTAGCTAAACCGTTGGGTCCCTGAGATTTCAACGTGTAATATTTAAAAGCAAGCGCCAGTTATTGGGAGAAGAGCAGACCATGCTATGGTGACATTTGCAAGGATGTACACACACTTTTTGTACAGAAGAGGCTTGTCCCTTGGTGAATTTGATCCATTCATTGCCCCTCCCATCCCCCTTTTGCTTCCTCTCTAAGGCTCTTGCAGAGCCGGGGCTCTAAGGTGCAGGGAAGGCAACAGCTCTGCCTGGAGCCACCGGGGCGCACACACGGGACCGAAGACGCCAGTGACAGGGAGCAAAGCCGGGGAGGGGCAGGAGCCCTGAGTCTGGGGCCCTGGGAGCCCATAGAGGGTCTCTGCCGGGCAGCGGTGGGTGGGTGGGGGCGGGGCTGAAGCTGCTCCACATCATCCTCCCTGAGCTGGGGAGATTTTTTCTCTGAAAGTCAGAAGTCACCATGGAGCCTGCAAATTGATCCTCCTGTGAGAGTGTGAAGTCACCTCCTCGCCAGAGCCATTAATGAACCCCGTCTTGAGAACAAGTGTAATTTCTTTCCCTGTGTTAAGTTGGCAATGACCGTTCTTTCAGCCACTGTGCCTTCTCACCTTTTCCTTCATTAGTTCCAACGTCTCCCAGGAAGGCCCAGAGCAGACCCGTAGAAGTCAGTCCAAGGGGAGGGAGAAAAAGCAGGCAGCCCGCTAGGCGATGGAGCTGAGCCCTTCGGGGGACCCTGCCCGGGGACTGATGGACGGTGCTCGTTCAGCCAGTGCTGTGGAAAGCTCGGGGGACCCCTCCCACTGTCCTCGCTGCTGCTGGGCAAAGAACCTGCCTTCCAAGCACCCAGAAAACCGCCCGACTCCAAGTTCTTCCTGATGAGTGTGACATTTCAAAACAACAGGGAGGGTCTTTTCTGCCAAAGCTACAAACCTAAAATGCTGCTGCACACGAGGGCAGGCCACCGCCAGGGCCACAGGACGTTTGTCGTCCACTCACACACCATCCGTCACTGGTGCCTGCTGAAACTGGTTGGCCTCCCCTGTGGAGAAGCAGCTGTCCCTCCTCGACCCCAACTCCCCGCGGAACCAGGGAGATCTGCCACCGAAGAGGCCTCTTTGAACACAAAGGGGTGAGGTCTCGATGGGACCCCTGGACCCAAAGGGACCCAGAGAGCAGGGCTGGCAAAGGCTGACCACAGGGTGCCCCTGCCTCCCCAGGGAGCATCACGGGCTCATGTCCGTGGGTTACATGAGGGCCCTTCAGGGAAATGGGGCAAAGCCCAGTGCAAGGACATCCCATGAGGCCTGAGACGGAGGGAGGGAGGGCGTGCCTGGGAAGCTTCCTGCTTCCTGCCACTATTGTCCATCTGCTGCTCCGAGGCCGAGCGGCAGAAGCTTGTCTCATAAACTAGCACTGACGGAGCGTCAGCCGAGGCCCACGGACAGCCTCGCCGGGAAGCGGACAATGAAGCAGAGATGTCAGCATTTGATGGCACTTGAGGGCCCATCCATTCCCTGCCCATGGGAAGCAGAGAGAACATGGGTGATGGGACCCAGTGGTCCCCAACCCCAGCGGGTACTGGCTGCCTTCCTTATCTGGCTCTCCCCGGGCAGGTGGTTGCTTAGACCAAAGATGCTGGCCCGGAGCAGGGCCAGTGTACTTTGTCCCCTTCCCCAACCGCCTCCTGCTGAAGGCGCCCATGCGGAGGGAAGCAATTCCAAGGTGGGGCAAGAGGGGACAGGCACCACCGAGGGCCTGTCATCCACCTATGGACGGAGGGTGTGGGAGATGTGTGCTGAGCCCTGGTTTTGTGTCTGCTGCTGCCTGTCCCTCCCTCGCCAGGCGGCTGACGGCAGCGTCCCCCCAGGACGCGTCAGTCCCTATGGCTTGGTAAATTCTATGTGCCTCTGGGCACAAAAGTGCCTCGACTACCATACTCTAGAAATCCTAAATGCCACGGTCTGAGGTTAATGTCTAAAATCTATGCCATTGAAAGAATCTGTGTATTTTTTTTAACCTATAAACCTTGTCTGAGAATTCACAAAAATAAACACCTAAACTGCCATGAATTTCAGGCTTTTATTTCTGCCATGCGGGTCACGTGCCCACCTGCTCACTGACAGCCTTCTGGTGGGAGCCTGCGCTCGCTCAGGCGACGTGCAAGGTGTTGGGGCCGCCACGGTGGACACAGACTGATCTGTGCTGAGCTGGCCACTGAGGAGGGGAAGACGTGCGGACCTACAGTGGCAGGCCAGGAGGGTAGTGGGGGATCCTGGTGACAGGGTGCAGGATGGGGTGTGGGGACATGCAAGCAGTACCCCAGGCCAGCTGAGTTTAGGGAAGGCCCCGGAGTGGTCCAAAGGCTGAGGTCTTGAGGGTTGGTAAGAGCAGCAGTGCTTCTGCGATTAGAATGTGTCTCTGAGTCTCGTAGGGGTGTGGTCCACATGCAGATTCTGATTCATGGGTCTGGGGTGAAAACCGAGATTGTGTATTTCTAGTAAGCTTCCAGGTGACACAGAAGGTGTTGCTCCTTGGACACTCTGCGTAACGAGAGTTAGATGGCTCTCCTTGCTTCTGCCGTGCTGTAGTCTGTGGCATTCAAACCAGTGCATGCACATCTCTGCCCCATTAATTGTCCCCATGAGCCTGCTTCCCCTGGCAGCCCTGGGGAGGTATGCGTCTGCTGCTGCAACCCCTTGTCCCCTTAAGGGCAGAGTGGGGAAACGCTCCATCCCTACAGCCACAGCCTTGGAAAACAAGAGGCACTCTCTTCAGAGACCACCCACCCACCCGTCACGCAGCCAAGCCTTCCTACTGAGGTGACCAGACTGTCTCACTGTGGGGCGGGCGGGGGGACAAGAAACCCAGTGCAGAAAGCAGTCTAGTGGCTAAAAACCACTTCTTGGGAACAATAACCAAAAGATGGCCCTGCCATTGTGAGTCCATGATAAGTGTTGTTCAAACGATAAGCCACGGCCAGGAAATAACTTCACTACAAAAAATTTTCAAGGTGAGAGATGTCGCGTGCTGCAGGCTCCCCTTCCTACTCTGTGTCTTCCCATGCTTGATGCTGGAAGAGTTAGCTTCACAAAGCAGCAATAAAATAGATGAAAAATACCCACTACTAAGGCAGCTCACATAAGAACTAAGAAGCAATGAAAATAACTCATATTGTTAAGGAGACAAAGTTATCATTCGGCTATTTGACACGTTGCATCTTTCCCAAAAGCAACGACATTAGCCGTGGAAGTGCAGAAGCTCTCCTGCACTGAGTCATGTCCCAGCTCTCGACAAAGTGAGAGTTGGCACCACGAAAGCAGAGACTCTTAACCCCATCAGACCATCACCAAGTTTTTCTAACACATATTTTGAAAATCTCTTTTAACGAACCTGAAATGGAATTTTGGAAATAATATAACCTGCCTATGCATGTAATTTCTAAATCAATTTAAGTTCTTAATTGAAACATAAAATAGAAATAAGGATAAAGGAATTTATATCATGCTAAAATATACATATATATAAAGTAATAATGAATAATAAATATTAAGTAATAGTCTTACAATAAATAAGTTGGTTTTGATAGAAATACAATGATATTCAACTATTTTTTACTTTCTTGCTTTATAACTGACATTTTTAAGACAAGGGCTAAAGTAAGTGTGTGTGTGTGTGTGTGTGTGTGTGTGTGTGTGTGTGTGTGTGTGTGTGTTTACTGGGAGTGTCTGAAACTGTGTTGAATGCTATGTAGTCAAGTAGGGCAAAGACCCATGGATGTTGACTATGTTTGAAAATGTGGAAACTTAATGGTGACAATTGCAGTGGGGAGCTGGGGGTAAGATCTAGATCGGGTAAGAGGGGAATGGAGATAGTAATTCTGATCAACTCTTTTGAGACCTGGCTGTAAAGTAGGAGAGAGAAAGGACTGGGAACTGGGGAGGAGAGGTGGTGCTGAGGAAGGGCTGGTTATTTTTCCCACGGTCCTGACCTGAACATGTTTTAAATGTTTCTGGGAAAAAAATATGAACAGAAATGGTTGAAGACACCAGATAAGTAAAGGAAAGAGTGAGAGAGAATGCAGCCAGGTCCTGGAGGACATGAGAAGAGATGGAGCCCAGAGCACAGGTGGCTGCAGAGGAGCGGCTTGTCCTCTGCCACGAGAAGGGAGGGCATGTCATTGAGGGGGGGGCTTCGCTGTGCTGATGTGACTTGGGATAGTTCCCTTCTGATGGTATCTGTGTCCTTCGTGAAAAAGCAGTCCATGCCATCTGCTGAGTGACGGGGAAGGAAGAGGGTTTGGCTGTGAGGATTGAAGAGGGATGAAAAGGTTAAAGATAATTGTGGGAGAAAGTAAAAAGGGAGCTGCCCAGAGAAACATGATAGGGTTAAAAAATAAAAAGAAAAAAAAAAAAGGCTTGATTATAACAGTTTTTGTCCAAGGTGAAATATACCTAATTATGTTTCCTGGGAAGTGTGCAAAGTTGATTTTTGTTTAGTTAAATGCTATTTCCTCCCACCAATTTCTATAATAATTTGAGATAGCTTGTCTTAGTTCAGTTTGATCTCTAGTAATCATCCAGAAATGCTTTGGCTTCATTTCTGTTTTCTCTGTTCAGAAATGAACAATCCCATGTGGAACCTTTGATGCACTAGGCAACCAGAAAACCTCCACTGCCAATTTTCCCATAAAGTGAATAATCAACACCCTTGTTTATTGAGTGTTGATTCCATTTATTGAACCAGGAACCTAGCTTATTTCTATAATCCCCATCATACAATAGCCTGCTCTTAAAAATCTAATTTTAGCTCACAGTTAAAACTCTTCTCCAACTAGAGAATTCATTAGGACTTTCTCTTCTTGAAGGGCCTTCCAGCTATAAAACAACTAGTTCCTACACAAAAGGCATACTTTTTAAGGCACTGCTGAACTCTTGAGAGGTAAGGGAAATCACCAGGGCAGGAGATAAATGGGAATACACACAAACAAACAAACAAAACAAAGTGCTCCTTGGCTCCTGGCAGAAGGAAATTTAAGTCCTTTCTGGAGAAAAGCAACCTCAGTTCAGAACAACCAAATAAGGAGCCGGATATCTAAGATCAACAAACCATAGGTGAGAATCAGCGGAAACACAACCCCCAGGGACTTCAAAGAACACAATTATCAAATATAGAATAATGATATATTAAATATCTAAAGAGTTAAAAAATAGGGTTGCAAAAAATAAGTAAGCAATAAGACTATAAAGGATCAGACATGATGATAAATAGAATTTTCAGAAGTGAAAAATTGTTGGAAACAAACTTACTTTTGTAGGTTTAACAGCAGATTGGAGAAAATTAGTGAATCTCTAAATGGAGCTGAAGAAATTACTCAGAATGCAATAAAGAGACAAATCGATAGAAAATATAAAAGAGAGGTTAAAAGAGATAGAGATTAAAGTAAAAATCTAAGATACAAATAACTGGAGTTCCAGAAGGAAAGAAGAATGGAGAGGCAAATTTTAAAGAGATAAAGGCTGAGGATTTTCTGAAACTACTGAAAGACTAGAATCCATAAAAGCAGAAAGCACAATGTATATCACCAGGCAGGAAAACAAATTTACAAGTAAAATTAGACTTAGACACACTAAGAAGCTCTTAAAAGCAGTCAGAAAAAAATGACAGATCACCTACAGTTGTTGAATTATAACAGACTTCTTAACAAAATTAATGGAAATCAGAAAATAGTGGTATAATGTGTTGATAGTACAGAGAGGAAATAATTGTCAACTTAGAACTTTAAATCCAGCAAAATTGATTCTTAAGATGCAAAATAAGAATGTTTCAGATAACAAAAATGGAGAGAATTTGCCAAGAGTTTCTCTAAAGAGAAGAACATATACTTCAGGGAGAAGGAAAATAATCCCAGAGGGGGATCTGAAAAACAAGGAGAAATAGTGAGAAAAGAAATACTAATCACATGGGGAAATCATGGGTAAAATCTTTTCTGTATAAAGTAATAATAATATCTATTTATGTGGGGTTTTTTTTAAAAGGACACACTAACTGACTAATGATGACATATAAATTGATTGAGTAAAGGATTGAGTTAAAATGTTGTAAAGCTCTTATATTTGTTTAGAGGCAGGGGCAAATTATGGACTAATTTAGATTTTGTTAAGTGCATCTGGAAGAACTTCAAGAGTAACCCCTAAAAAGCTAAACCTGTAACACCCAAGTCCTTAGGAAGGTAAAAGCAAAAAAAGAAAACAAATAAAAATTTCGATTTTTAAAAGCAAGAAACAAGAAAAATAGCATACATAAAGCAAGATGCATAGAAAACAAAAAGTAGATATTAGAAACAAATCCACATATATCAATAATTGTGAAGCAGATCACCAGGCACTAGTACCAATCCCTATGACGGGCACACCATGCACTGGCTACTAAGGGAGGGACTCTAAACACCTTGCCAATTTCTGCTAAGACTCCTAGATCTGGAAGGTGCCCGGGTCTGGCAGGAGTCTTTACACAAACCCAGGTTCCAGAGGTTTTGCACAAACCCACCTGCCCGAGAATGAGTTTGGTGAGACAGAACACTGGTACACGTCAGACAGAGCAGATGTATTACTCACAGATAGACACAAAGGACGAACATGGTACCAAAAGTGTGGCCATTTGTCCTCAAGGCTGCATAGGAAGAATGAGAACAAGTGGTTTGAGGAGAAAGAAAGAGAAGTTTTATTACTTTTCTGGCAAAGGAGGAGGATGGAGACTCCTGTCTGAAATGCCATCGTCCTCCTAAAAAGCAGAAATACAGAGCTTTTAAAGGATGGGCTCTCAGCGTCGGGCAATCACTGTGCAACTACAGCTGATGATTCTGAGGGTCCCATCTCTGCTGAAGACAATCTCCTGACCTCCACCCAGGACCTCTCTTTACCAGGCTGAGCCATCTCCTTTAGCACAAGTAACAGAAGACTGACCGTGCCCCTCTCAACCACTGCCCTGAGGCAGGGATGCAGGTTTTAGTTCTCCAAAAGGAGTGGAGGATGTTTTAAAAAGACAGAAAATATTTTTGCCTCTTTGTTTG